CCAAATGATACTTTGTACTAGTTGCCTCTTGACGCATCCTAAAGTACCCCAAAGCTCAGTGTCTTCAAACAACAACCTTTATCATCTCAGTCTCTGTGGGTCACAGATCCAGGTGCAGCTTAGCTGAGCCCTCCGCTTCAGCACCTCTGCAGGCTGCAGTCAAACTGTCAGCTGAGCTGGAGTCGTCAGCTGGGGACCCGATACCGAGCTCACTCTAGTGGTTGCTGGCAGGATTCAGTTCCTCGTGGACTGTTGGATCCAAGGCCCCGATGCCCTTCACTGCCTGTGCCCTCTCTTCCTCAGCACGTTGGCCACTCCATGGGGCAGCCCCCAACGTGGCAGCTGCTTCATCAGAACACATAAGAAAGAAGTCTTGAAGAGTGTGAGCAGGAGGGGAGTCCCAGTTTTGTATCGTCTAATCTCAAAAGTGACATTCCGCCACTTCTACCATATTTTACTCATTAGGAGCAAGTCGCCAGGTCCAGCCTACACTCAGGGGAGGGGATTACACAAGGACGCGTGGTATGCCTACCACATACTTGAACATTTATAGCATCTTCTCAATAACAAAAACAGTATTTTCTCAAGTTACTTGTCTAATATGGAAACTTTCTAAATCCATTGGTGAATGCCCACACCCATTTCTCGCAAGCAACAGCCCCCGGTCCCCCTGGTCCCCTGCCCCCACCAGACTTACTGGAAAGTCCCTGCCGGGTGAGTGAGCGGCTATTTGCCAGATTGGGGGTGGGGTGGGGGTGGGATGGGAGCAACATGGGCACCTTCAGAAGTCAAACGTCAGAGGAGGGAGGCAACTCAGGACTCGCCTTTGAAAAAGGTTCAGTTGGTGCCTGCCCCAGGCCATTACCATTGCTTTAGGCTGAATTCTTAACCAGCCCAACAAGGTGTGTCCGGATGTGGCTTCGCCGGCTTTCTCCAAGCTCAGCCCGCCTTTCTGTTCACTCTCTCCACACGCTAACCACAATGGCCTCTTCTCTGGCCTCAGAGAGGCCAGGCTCTTCTTCTCCAATGAGGCATTTGCTATGCTCTTTCCTCTCCTGGATCCCCGCCCTGCCCCCTAAAGCCTCACCTGCCTGACTCCTACTGAGCCTTCAGACCTCCGCTTGGACAGCACTTCCTTGCAGGGGCCACCTCCAAGCCTCCAGTCTCAGCCAGCTCCCTGAGCTACCAGTGATTTCCCCCCCCCCCCAGGAGATCTCTGATTCCAACCAGAAATAGCATTTCCAACCAGCCCTTAGGCAATTTTTAAAATAGGGCAAGTTTGGGAGGCACTACCCACTGTCTTCACAAGTTCACCTGGCACCCTTCCCTCTCCGGTCCCACTCAGCACACCTAGAGCTGATGAGTTGGTTCTGCCCTGTGGACCCCTGCGGGCCAGGCCCACATCTGTCTCGCCTAAGCCCAGTAGGGGTAAGTAGGCAGGGGGAGAGCAGGCTGGAGGGAGATGGACAGGCACTGCCAAAACAAAGGTGGGGTGGAGCAAATGAGCACATTGCTGCTGAGATGGGCTGAAGAGAGGCTTGGCTGGGCACTGTTGGGGGAGGCAGGTGCCGCAGGACATCCAGGTCCCACTGAGAACACTCAGGATGCTAAGAGACAGAGATCCAGGAAGAGGAGAGATCCTCCAGTGCTCCAGCAGTCACCAGGCAGAAAACCACGAACCTCAGGCTTTCTCTGGGATAGTGTCGTCTACTCACAGCCCAGCTGCTCAGGATTACAATGGCGGAGACTGAGGTTTAGGGTTGTCAGGTTTACCAAAGAAAAATGCAGAAGCCCTGTTACACTGGAATTTCAAATAAACAACAAATAATTTTGTAACATAGGTATGTCCCAAATATGACTCAAGTGTCACATATTTTAACTGGCAATGCTGCCAAGGTTATGAGCTGATGCTAAGGCCCCAAGGCTAGAGTCCATGATTACTCCACGGGTTTCCTGGAGACAAGAATAAACTCAGGGCCAGGCACAGTGGCTCACACCTATAATCCCAGCACTCTGGGAGGCCAAGGTGGGAGGATGACTTGAGGCTAGGAGTTCGAAACCAGCAACATGGCAAAACCCTGTCTTTAAATTTATATATATATAAAATTAGCCAGCCATGGTGGTACGCACCTGTAGTCCCAGTTACTCAGGAGGCTGAGTGTAGGAGGAACCCTTGAGCGTGGGAGGCTGAGGGTGCAGTGAATCATGATCACACCACTGCACCCCAGCCTGGGCAACAGAGTGAGACCCAGTCTCAAAAAAAATTGGGGGGCTGGATACAGTGGCTCATGCCTGTAATCCCAGCACTTTGGGAGGCCGAGGCAGGCAGATCACTTTAGGTCAGGGGTTCAAGACCAGCTTGGCCAACATGGCAAAACCCTGTCTCTACTAAACATACAAAAATTAGCCGAGCATGGTGGCACACACCTGTTAGTCCCAGCTACTTAGGTGGCTAAGGCACAAGAATTGCTTGAACCCAGGAGGCAGAGGTTGCAGTGAGCCAAGATTACGCCACTGCATTCCAGCCTGGGCAACAGAGTGAGATCCTTTCTCAAAAGAGAAAAAAAAAAAAACACTCCTAGGGCTCCCCTCTCCAAACAGTCCACGGAAGCGGTTTTCATTGTTGTGATAGTTCAACACTGGAAGCAACCTGAATACATCTGAGGAGGCAGGGATTCCTTTCTAGTGGCTTAAAACAACAGAAATGGATTGTCTTGCAACCTGGAGACCAGAAGTCCCAAATCAAGGTGTCAGCAGGGTTCTGTTCCCTCCGAGGCTCTGGGAAAACTCCTTCCTTGCCTCTTCTAGATTCTGACAGGCAGCTATCCGCCCTCAGCACTTCTTGGCTTGCAGCTGCATCACACCAATCTTTCCTCTGTCATTGTGTGACATCCTCCCTGTGTCTCTGTTTCTCTCTCTCCCTCTCTTTTTAAATTTTAAGTTCCGGGATACATGTGCAGAACGTGCAAGTTTGTTACATAGGTATATATGTGCCACGGTGGTTTGCTGCACCTATCAACCTGTCACATAGGTTTTAAGCCCCACATGCATTAGGTATTTGCCCTAATGCTGTCACTCCCCTTGCCCTTCAGCCCTCATCAGGCCCCGGTGTGTGATGTTCCCCTCCCTGTGTCCATGTGTTCTTGTTGTTCAACTCCCACTTACAAGCGAGAACATGCAGTGTTTGGTTTTCTGTTCCTGTGTTAGTTTGCTGAGAATGATGGCTTCCAGCTTCATCCATGTCCCTGCAAAAGACATAAACTCATTCTTTTTTATGGCTGCATTCTCTGTCTCTTTTTATAAGGGCACCAGCTATATTGGATTAGGACCCACCCTAATCGAGCATGGCCTCATCTTAATTTGATCACATCTGCAAATACCCTATTTCCAAATAAGGTCACGTTCATAGGTACTAGGGATTAGGACTTCTTCCTCTTTTTTTTTTTTTTTTTTTTGAAACAGGATCTCACTCTGTCGCCCAGGCTAGAATGCAGAGGCATGATTTCGGCTGACTGGTTCGAGCGAGTCTCCTGCCTCAGCCTCCTGAGTAGATGGTATTATAGGCGCACCATGCCCAGCTAATTTTTGTCTGTTTAGTAGAGATGGGATTTCACCATGTCATCCAGGCTGGTCTCGAACTCCTGACCTCAAATCATCCACCCACCTCAACTTCCCAGGGTGCTGGGGATGACAGGCGTGAGCCATGGTGCCTGACTCGGGATTAGGACTTCAATGTAGCTCTTGAGGATAATACAATTCAGCCCATCACAAGGGGAATGGATAAATTGGGAACCAATACATGGAAGGATTCCATGACAGATTTTTGAGTGAAAAAAAAAAAAAGTCAAAACAAGGAAGGTGGAAGAAAAAAACATATGTAGCATGATTCCCTTTTTAATCTTTAAAAAAACAACTATCTATGAGCCTCTATGTGTGATTACTACTTATGCATTAGTTCAATCAGCAAGTATTTCCTGGGGACCCACCAGGGACACAGCCGTGGGTAAGGCAGGTGCCATCCCTGCCCTCCTGGAGCCTGCAGTTAAGTATGCAGCTCGATGGAAGGACACACATCTACCCATTATTTCTTTTTCCAAGTGGGCTTGGAGGGGACAAAGGAAAGATTTTTTCCTTTCTTTTTTTTTCTTTATTGCTTAAATTTTTATAACAAGCATGTTACTCATTTGTGACTTTTTAAAAAATGCTTAACTTTTTTTTTTTAATCCGAAAGGCCAGCCCTTTGGAAGCCTCTTCGTTGTCTTCCTGAGTGCAATGGCTGGGACACGTCTGGGACACGGCTGCAGTAGTGGCACGCTGTGTGTGACTGCTGGACCCTGCAAGGTTTGCCCTGAGTGTGCATAACTGAGAAGAAGTAGGAATCTTAGCAATCCAAACGACACTTAGGAACGTTTAATGGCTAAACAAGTGAAATACTTGTAATTGTCCTCTTATTTGTGGTGTGTTTGATGTCTGTCTCTTCTATGAGACAAGACGGCAGGGGCCAGGTTTGTTTTGTACATCACAGAGTCAGCCGCCAGCACGCACTCAACACATACTCAATAAAAATGGGGTCGAATGAATGAAAGAACACCGAAGCTTGGGATGGCCCTGATGGATCATCTAGTCTAACCTTGTCATTTTATATAATTGGTAAAATTGAAGCCCAGGGAAGTCAAGGAACAGAGAAACGGAGAGGTAGCCAAGACTCAGAAGAGACTTACCGCTCTCAATCCAGGCTCTTACCTTCAAAAGAAGATGTAAAAATTTAAAAACCCACGTGACACACATTTTATAGTAAGATCAAAAGACATACGAACAAGGATAGAGAAATATTGTCTAATAATTACCAGAATGTTAAACCAGTGTTTTCATCTAACTTTGGCTTTTCCCACTGGGGCTAGATATTCAACAGATGTTGGGGGTTTGCGGGTGCTAGTTAATCACACCCCTCACTTCTCCGAGGTCTGATCCAATTGAGAAATAGTCACAGGAGACAAGTAGGGATTAAAATGTCAGCTTTATTGCTAGTCCAGATGGACTGGAGGATGTGGCTAAGACCCAGGGCCCAAATGAGCTTTCTGTGTCTTCTCCCCTGACTTGAACTCACTCACCCACTCGCGGCAGAGCAGCTGGACTATTGAAGTCCTCCCAAGCAGGGGCTGGACCCGCCCTGGTGCTCGTTGCCTGGAGGAGGCAGGAGCAGAGAGAGAACATGCTGCTTGCAGTCAGGTCAGTCCCAGAGAGAGAGCCAGGAACAGGCTGAGCCATGCACACTTCATACCCTTTTCCCAACTACACCAACCCAAGATTTCCCTCCTCCTCTCACAGAGAGGAACCAGTGAAGATTGTACCAAGAAAGTCGAAAAGTTTCTTCCCAGTTCTTCCAAGAGATTGTCAGTTCCTGTTTTACGGGCTGATAGGAGAATGGGGAGGGGAGATAGCTGCCCCCTTAACAGAGCCTTCAATTCACTCAATACCTTTTCCTAGAATCTGAAAACTTCTGTGTTACAGGAAGCAGATCTGAGGCAAAAGGCCGTATCAATTGGAAGTGAACTTGCTGCAAATAACACAAAATTGAGATCAGTAACTTAAACTAAAAAGAGACATTTTTTCTAATGCAACAGGAAATTCAGAGGGGGGCAGATCTGGGCTGGGTCATGCTCCATGATGGTGCCAGGGAGCAGGACTCCATCTGCCTTTCTGCTCCACCATCCTTAGAAAGTGGCTTTTGTCTTCACACTTTTAAGATTGCTCCTCCATGTCTAGGCATCCTGTCTACATTCCAGACAAGGCGGGGAGGACAAAGAGACAGCTAAATCTGTCCCTTCTTATCAGGAAACGGATAACTTTTCCAGAAACTCTATTCAGTAAATGTGTGTTTTCATCTCATGGGCCAAAACTGTGTCACTTGCCCCTCTCTCTGAAAGGGAGTCCATGAAATTTAACTTTGAACTTGACAAAACTGGATTCTTTTCAATAAAGGAAGAAGAATGAATATTGGATAGCAGAATGGCCTGCCACAAAGAGCACAAAATGATGAAAGAAAATAGAAAAAAATCTTGTCCAAAAAGTGGTTTTTTAAAAGGATGTGGACAATTGTTTTTGCAAACATTCAAGAAGGAGATTATTCCCTGTGCAAACACTTTCAGAGAATAAAAAAGGTAGAAAACTTAGTTCATCTTACAAAGCTAGCACAACCCTGATACCTAAACCTAATAACAGAAAACACACACTAAATTAACAAATTAATTAAAACTACATACCAAGCCAACTTATAAGCTGACAAAAATTCCATGTTTTTCTCATTCTTGGTTTCTCCTTTGTTTTACTGCTGCACATCCTCCATTGCTGTTTTTTTTCCGGCAGCATTAGCACAAGGAGTCTACAGGAAGTAAACTTCCTTAGTCCTCGTGTGTCTTAAAGTGTCTTTGATCTGCCCTCTTAGCCAGTGGACAGTTTAGCTGGGTATTGAATTCTAAATTGAAAATCACTCTCTCTCAGAACTTGGAAGAGATTGCGTCATTGTCTTTTGGCATCCAATGCTGCTAGTGAGAAGTCTGGTGCCTTTCTGATTTTCAGTCCTTTATAGGTGATTTTTTTCTCTCTGGAAACTTTTAGCACCTTCTCGTTTTCCTAAGTATTCTGAAATTTCTAAATCTTGTATGTTCTTCATGCTGGGGGCTTGATGAGTCCTGTTATTCTGAAGACTGGAGTGTTTTGTGTTTAAAAAATTCTGTTCAGTCATTTACTTGAAAATTCTCTCCCTTGATTTCTCTCTTCTCTCTGAAATCTTTATAAATCAAACATGGACCTCCTGTATTGATTTTTTATGTCTCATATATTCTCTAATAAAATTCTGTGTCTTTACCCTTTTGCTTTATTTTCTGAGAGATTACCTTGACCTTAACTTTCAACATTTCCAATGAATTTTAATTATATTTTTCTATGTCTGGGGCTTTTGTGTTCTCTAATTGTTTCTTTTTTCATATCACTACTCATGTTTTATAGATTCAGTGTCTTCTTGAATTCTTTTTTTAAGTTCTGTTCTACGTATGAATTGTCTTTGTTTCCTCAGAGGTCTTATTTTCACTTTGTTTATCTTAGTCTCTCTATTTCATATTTCAGGCTTCCTCAAATAGCTTCTGGCTTATGGTTGTCCATTCATATTTAAGAATGAAGCAGTAGAAAAGTTTCCTGGAAGCTCTGTGTACATGGATAAGAGGAGATGAATGGCAGGCTTTGTTTCCAAGTAAACTGATCTTTATGCCTTGAGATTTCTAAATGTCAGCCTGCAGTGTGCTTTGCTCTCAGATGCCACCTTAAAACCCAGCTATCCTAGTCTTCCTCAGGCAGTTTAATTTCTTTAAAGAAGAAATTAAGGGAAGGAGCAAAATGGGGGACAGAGCAAACATCTGCTGGCTGAACAGTTTGCATATAAGGGTCAGGGAAGTTAACTGTTCCATTTTTAGACTTCCAATTAAGTTCCCCCTTTTCAGCCACACATCCCTTTCCCACCCTCCATTGCACCTAGCACATCCAAGTCCTGAGCTTCTCCAGGCCTCTGCGGGCAGGTCAGCTCCCTCTTTGGCTGCAGACCCAGCCATATGCATTCCACACTGCAGCTTCCTCTGTCCTGCTTACTCGATCATCATTCCCCATCAAACCACTTCTCCAGAAATTTGTTGAGATTTCTCTTGTACACAAGTGCCCCCTCCCAGTTCAAATTTTCCTTTGGAAGCATTGATATATTTATTATTTATCATGAAGACATTTCTAGAAGAGTTTGTAAAGATAAGCCCATGTGCATTTAGTCAACCTTCTTGGATTGGAAGTCCCACTGACCTTGTAATGAAGGCTGGTGGGCATGGGTGTGTGCTTTTACATGGATAGACCTGAGTAGACTGTGCGGTCCTTCTAATCAATGACACATTTACAAGAAACTCAAAAATATGCACAGAGATGGAAGGAAAGTTTTTTTTGTTACATAACACATTTCAGTGTCTGTTGATTATAATATATTTTAAATATGAAACTAAAATTATACGTGTCCCTAAAGCACCTCCTCAGAACCCTAAAAATTTTGTAGAATATACTGGGAAAACCACTGGCATGATTAAAAAAAAAAAGAGCATGGAGTTTAGAGTCAAACAAACCTGATTCAAATCCTGGTTCAACCATCTGTTCTCTCCAAATGTTAGTTCCCTCATCAGTACCTACCTTCTCAGATTGCTGTGAGGATTAAGTGAGATCATATATACACAGAGCACCTAGCACAGAATCAGGGATTAGTAGGTGCTCAATAAATGCTCATTGCTGTTCCTCCTTCCCACTCCATACTGGACTACTCACCATGCCCCACCTCGTTCATGCTATTTCCACCTCCCCTCTTCTGTACCTCTTGGATTTATGCTTGTTCTTCAAGGTTCAGATTAAACATCCCCACATTCACAAAGTCTTTTCCAACCTTCCAGAAGATTAACTGCTGTTTCTTCTGGGTCCCCCTGACACCTGTTCACACCTCTGCTTTGTTCCAATCTCTCTGCAACCAAGAGAGCTTTGCACACACCTGTCCCTCTGGTACAGAGGGAGTCCTTAAAGAGAGTATCCTGATCTGATTCCTCATATTTCCCCTATACCCAGTCCTATAGCTAGCACATAGTGGGCAATCAATAAGTATTAGAGTCTAATTGAGTTGCAGCAAACTGAACCGGATTATGAAGAGCCCAAACCCACTGCCAGGCAGAGATATGAAAGCCAAGCTATTATGGCCGGGCATGGTGGCTCACATCTGTGATCCCAGCACTCTGGGAGGCCGAGGCAGGTGGGTCACTTGAGGTCAGGAGTTTGAGACCAGCCTGGCCAACATGGTGGAGCCCTGTCTCTACTAAAAATACAAAAATTAGCCAGGCATGGTGGCATGCACCTGTAATCCCAGCTACTTGGGAGGCTGAGTCAGGAGAATCACTTGAGCCAGGGAGGTGGAGTTTGCAGTGAGCTGAGATTGCACCACTGCAATTCAGCCTGGGTGACAGAGTAAGACCCTCTCTCAAAAAAAAAAAAAAAAGAGAGAAAGAGAGAGAACAGAAGGAGGGAAGGAAGCAAGGAAGGAAGGAAGGAAGGGAGGGAGGGAGGGAGGGAAGGGAAAGAGGGAGGGAGGAAGGAAGAAAGGAGCCAAGTTATGACCTAGACAGACAGATTCTAACTTGTCCACAACACAAACACTTTGTTCCTTTCTTGCAGGAGCTTCCGAGCTGCTGTCATGACCTCCGTAGCCAACCCTGCCACTTTGCCAAACACAAGTAAACACGTTCCGCTCCACGAGACACATCCTTGGTTTGGCTTGGCCCTTGCCCCACCCCATGAGACAGAGTCAGAGGAAGAAAGACAGTTAGACTAGACAGAGCTCACCTGGAATTCTGAGAACCCACTGGGTGGGGATGGAATTTTTCATTCTCTAGAATGACACATTTAGCTCTGGGGCAGGGCTGGGGCAGGATGCTTTCTCTGTTCTTCTCTTTACCGCCTTGGGCAGCACAAGTCAGAATAAAACACCTTAGGCCTTGAGCTCTCCCTTCTTCCTCCCTCTACCTTTGCCTCCCACCCAGGCAGAGTTAGGCCCATTAGTCAGACAAATATGGAGCTAAGACACAATCTGTGAGCAGGATCCTGTTCTCGGGCCTTGGGCAGAGCCAAGAGGAGGAAGAGCATCGTCCACACTGGGAGTCGCAGGTCTAATGAAGAATGCAAAGTCCTTGTCCCCAAGGAGCTTCTCATCTAATAGAGCGGGGGGTGGGAGGGCAGGGAAACAAAATAGAGTCCCAGGCTGATGTGATCCCACCCACACTCAGGAAATGCCCAGTCCAATATGGGAGACAGTACATGTGCACACAAGTGTCATCCAAACTCAGAGGATGCAGCACCAGTCACTGCGCCTACTGTGTCCCTACTGTGTGCTAAGCGCGTTACATAGGTATCACTTATAAGGCCGTCATGAAAATAGTCCAGTCTCAAAGCTGTGTTATCATCAAGGATGGCAACCAAGCTGGGCGCAGTAGCTCATGCCTGTAATCCCAGCACTTTGGGAGGCTAAGGCAGGAGGATCACTTGAGGCCAGGAGTTTGAGACCACCCTGGGCAATATAACAAGACCCTGTCGCTACCAAAAAAAAAAAAAATTGGCTGCAGTGAACTATGATCTCACCAGTGCATCACTCCAGCCTAGGCGACAGCGCAAGACTCCATCTCACAAAAAAAAAAAAAAAAAAAAGACAGAGAGAGAGGGACAGGAGAGAGAGAATAGCAACCAAAAAATAATAATTTCACAATAACTCCATTTACTTGAATTTCTTAAACTTGACTACAAAGAATCATGGATCATAGTGATGCTTCTCAAATCTCCTTTTTCCCACCCACTCTCCCCTCACCCATTACAGCTGCTCAAACCTCCCTCTTCCCTCAGTCTTGCTGCAGATCCTTCTTCCCTCTCTCTCTCCTCCCATCACCTATGCCTAAGGACTATTCCAATAAATCAGCACCTTTCTTAGAGGGCAAGGGAGACACACACACACACACACACACACACACACACACACACACACAATTCAAATAGGCCAAGCCAGGATTTTCTCTGATGAGCAGAGAGAAGGGAGAGACTGGGATGGAACACTCACCCCGCCCCCATAGCTTTCCTCCTGCCACACACACAGTATCTCATTTGATCCTCACAACCACTGTATAAGGTTGATGCTATTATCCCTATTCTACCGATGAAAAAACTGAGATTAGCAAGTAATGCTTGACCAAGGCCATGCCATTAGTTAGCAGTGGAGCAGGGACTTGAACCCACGTCTGCCAAAAGAACACATATCCTTGTCCCTAGCAGGGTGTCCAGAGTGAAGGAGTTGGGTGACTCAGGGCTTGGAGGGGGTGCTTTGTGGAAAGCAATCTTTAGGGTGTGGTGAATTCTTCTTCAATACCTCAGGATATGTATGTGTTTGTGTCTGTGTGCGTCTGGGGACGGGAGTGACTTGACCACAGGAAGTTCCTCTCAGCCATGCTCCACTTCCTACAGAGTGGGAGGACGTTCCCTGTGGAGCCACTCATCCTGGAGCGGCTCAGGGACAACTGTGAGGGCACCCTCCACACCAGGGAGGATACCTGGGGACTCTCCCTGGGGGTCAGAGTGGAGCGGGGGACTCCGGAAGCCCAGAGGCAGGAGACTCCCAGGGCCCAGGCTGAGAGTATGATTCGCTCATGGCATCTTGTTACAGCCACAGGATGCTTGCGTCTCCTCAGAGCCTCCCTTCAGCAACACGAAGCTGGAAGGGCAGAGTGTGGCCCCATTTCACAAGTGAGAACACTGAGGCCCAAAGCAGTTCCTTTATTGTAGAGAAGACAGGGCTAGGCCTCAACACAGACCCTCTGACATCCTGCCACGCCCCACAGACAGCCCAGGCTGCCAGGAGGACTCCACAGCCCTGCATCCCACCTCCACTTCCCCCAGCCCATGTGAAACAGTGCCTGCCTCCTTCTCTCCTTCCTGAGGCCACCAAGAGACTCTTGTCCTTGGACTTTGGGTCCTTCAGGCAGACCCAGAGGAACCTGTTCTGCCCACTGTGTCCCGCTGGGGTCTGGCAGGAGAAGACACTGTGTGAATGGAGGGATGCAAGCGGCAACAGACAGGCTGGGGTAAGAGAGGCGGTGCTGGGCAGGAGGCCTCGTGACCTCTTCCCGCTCCACCACAAACCTGGGTGGTCTTGGGGAAGCCACTCTCCCTCTCTGTGTCTCCCTCCTTCATTGCATAGGAGGAGGTGGGGACACGTCAGGCTGCATAGAACCCAGGTGGGGGGTGCAGGAGTTTGGAGGGGGCTGAACGGCTAGGGCGCTGACCCCTCCCTCAGTGCCCACCTCCACCAGCACCCCCTCCAACTGGATTAGCCTTGACCTACCTGTTGTATTCGTCTGCACTTACTGGTAAGCTTCTGTTTGAAGAAAGGATTCTGCATCCACCTTCTTTCTTACAAATACCTCTGTATGGCGTCTGTTCATAATCCTGTTCTGTTGATCGTTATTAAATAAGGATTTTCCTGTACATTTAGGAGGACGTTTCAGGCTATGGGCTGGGAATGGGCCAGGGGATTCACTGCTTCACTCCTCCTGGGTCCCCCCTACCCCGCTATTGGTACTGGAAGTATTCAACACATGGCTTCCCTTTGAGACCGTCTCCATGGGACACCTCCCCTGACCCTCACCCCTCAAATATGTAAACCTTCTGAGCTTGCTGTCTGTTTTACCCCGGTGGTTCTGACCAATTTGTTTTTGGTTTTGTTTTTGTTGTTGTTGTTTTTTTGTTTTTCTTCGATACCGAGTCTCACTCTGTTGCCCAGGCTGGAGTGCAGTGGTGCCCTCTCGGCTCACTGCAACCTCTGCCTCCTGGGTTCAAATGATTCTCCTGCCTCAGCCTCCCAAGTAGCTTGGATTAGAGGCGTGTGCCATCACTCCTGGCTAATTTTTGCATTTTTAGTAGAGATGGGTTTTCGCCATGTCCGCCAGGCTGGTCTCGAACTCCTGACCTCAGGTGATCTGCCCACCTTGGCCTCCCACAGTACTGGGATTACTGGGATGAGCCTACTGCACCCAGCCGGTTCTGCCCAATTTGGATGCGACTCCCAAGAGCTTGTTCCTCAGTCCTTCCGGAAGGGAGTGTGTGTGGGATATTTCTGAGGCCCTCAAAGGCACAGGCTGCCCCAGTGCCCTCTGACCTTCCCACAGCCCCTCCTGCTTCCCTGGGTCTCACTTGGTCTTTTTGCTTCACCCACACCTCGAAGCCTGTGGAGCTGCTCCCAGCTGTCGAGGACTCCACTTAGAATGCCTGTTGGAGATCAACTGTTTTTCTCTTCCCCTAAACTCTGCTGCCTTCTTTAAAGCTCTACAGTTCCGTGCTACACCATCCAAAGTCTGAGAGTGCTGGGATTCAGGGGGCAGGTTGGGGGAGCAGGCGTCCTATTCTCCCAAGCGCCCCTTGATGTGATCTTAGGAGGTTGGGTGGACACCAAAGCGTAGTGAGACCAGAGCAAGGAAAGGCGCCTGCTTCAGGTCCCAGCTCACACTGGAGAGGGTCCGCCCCTTGGCAGGAAGGCAGGGACTGGAGCAGGTGATTGTGAGCTCCCAGCCCTGGGGAGCTCCCATGGGGCTGCCCCAGATGCCCTGGTGCTGGTCAGCAGAGTCTCTTTCCATCTGAGCTTCTGCTGACTAGAAGGCAGTTCTTACCCTCTCTGTGCAGTTCTGCTGCTGGTCTATGAAGCGGACCCAGGAGCCCAGGCGGAGCGGGGGCAGGGGGTGCGGCAGAGGAGGGAGCCAGATGCCAGGGAGAGAGCACTGCTGTCAGTGCCCCCGGGAGTCAGGAAAGCCAGGCTGGAGAGCACAACCTGACCTCCATGAGCCCCCAGCAGCCCCTTAAAGCCCGGCCCCATTTCCAGTCACAGCAGAGAGTTTG